TTTTTAGGCCAGATTCGAGAAATTTTGTCTTTTTGAAAGTGTTTGTCTTTAAAAAAAAAATGTTTGGCTTTTTTTTTTAACCGGTGCAACAAACTCGTTTTTAAAATAAATTGTGTAATCTTGAGAGCAAAATGTTTAAATATAAATAATATATATATATATATATATATATATATATATATATATATATATATATATATATATATATATATATTCATTTTAAAATTGTTTTTGGTTTGTTTTGTCAAAAAGAATCTGCTTAGTGCTAAAGAGATTAAGATTGACATAACTTTCTCTTCTTTCCTGCCTCAAGCTAAACTGCGTGAGTTAGGTGACCAACTCAAAATTCAGAAAATCGTCAAAATTATGTTATGTTTTGTGTGTGTGTGTGTGTGTGTCTAATTTGGCAGGCTACACAAGAAATTATATTTAATTTAATAGAAAATTGAATTACAGGATAAGGTCATCGTCTTAGGAACTGCAGTGGTTTTACATGGATGGTACATCTAAAGTGGTTAATTGTAAGATTTCTCTTTGGTCTAGGTTAAAAGAGGTGCGTCTCCATTATATGGGTTTTTCTTTGGCAACCTCTTGAAGTAATAATGAAAAAAAAAGAAAGAATTTAATTGATCTCATCAAACAAATGTGGCAAAGGCTTCACCGCATCCCACGAATGAATGAATGAATGAATGAATGAATGAATGAATGAATGAATGAATGAATGAATGAATTGACATGACTGCATTCGGGACATTCCCAGGTGTGCTCCGTCCCCTTCTTCAGTAACAACAAAGAGATGACCAGTTGCTACCTATTTAAAAGTCATCCTCTGTTTTGAAAAGCTCTGCACCCCTCCCCCCATCCTTCCCACCGGGCCGTCCTTCACCCCCCCCCTTCCGTTTTTTAAATAAGTCTATCAATGGACGGATTCTCTATCTGTTGTTTTACACTTTTTATTTAACCCTATAGAGCTTTCAACACATCCGCTTTATCCTAAAGTAGCTCACCGCCCAGAGAAGCTGTAGCATCTAATTTATCAACCTATTCGTCACGTCACACACATTAATTCCTGAACAAAAAATACATGATACTCTACCCCTAAAATTTTAAAGCAAGTCTCATCTGACAAAGTATACGGTGATGGTTTCAGGGAAGCAATAGTGATGACTTTGATGTTTAGCTTTTCTTAGGATGTAAGTATACATTTGCAACCGCTTCCTCATATTTTTTTAAACCTGTTATTGCAGTTGTACTACTCTATAACACTTATATGTACTCTATGGTAATCTCTAGGATGTAGTCATATTCCCCACAAGACAAAACTAATGAACATTAACGTCTTTTTGTTTTCTCCTTTCCTCCCCCTTTTCTTATGTTCTCATCTCTTTTTTACTTCTTTTATATGTTCTTCTTCTATATCTTTTTTTTTAACTTCGCTCTGTCTCCCTTCTCCCCCCCCCCCCCCCCACACCCACACCACTCTCTTTAAAACCAGTCTATTATGTTCACTTGAATAAAGTACCAAAAAGAACCAAATGCGGCAGTGCAAAGAAGCCTGCTTCAATTCTCAGAAAGTAGGTATTTGAAAAAGGTGGTCCAATTGACAAGATACAAAGTTCGCGACTAAACAATACGTTATGATCTCAAACCCAGATCTTGCAAACTTGAGTGGATCAATAACAGTATGCAAAATTGGAAGAACCAACCACCGTGACGTGTACAAGAGACCAAGAACCAGAGAAGAAATCTTCCAAGACGACACAGTGTCCGCTGGAAATACAAAAACCACACAGCCCATGACATTGAACAAAGCCATTAAAAAAAAAAAAAACCTGCAGATAAAGAAGTCTGGCTATTTCGTTGGCAAACCCCTTCACCACAAAGTAGAAGTTTCAAAAAGTTTTTTATTATTATTATGTATTTTTCATATTTCATTGAGTGGTTATTGGTGACTCCTAACTCCGCCTTCGGCACTGGCCTCGTGTGTTTGCATTATTGCTCATGCTCTGAGTACTGTATTTGCCTGTTTATGCTTATAACGCATACATATTTAGAGCTCATTTTACTCTGGAATGGTTGTCCCCAGAAATATCCGGGAGAAACTCGACACTTAGGGTAAATTAATAATCATGTTAAAGTAGAAATGCCCTTTGCCTCGCGCTCTTAAGGTCGTGGGTTCGTTTTACAGCTGCGACGTTTGGTTCACGTGTTCAGTTTCTACGGAGAAAATATCAATATTCATGTTTAGAAAAATTAGGTAAAGTAAAGAATCTTTCTGAGCCATTGGCTCTTCGGTCTTATCATCCTGGGCCCATGTTTCTGAGAACCCATTTTACGCTTGCTAGACCTGGCAGTGGCTGAACCACTCTCGCCGCCTCCCTGTAAAATTTTCGAGGGGTTGGGTAAGTCGCTCCTGCTAGACATTATGAACGTTTTTTTTAAGTATTCGTTTGTGCATTTAATCCTATTTTAAATATAGTGTTATATTCACTTGTTTTTTATCACATAATATTTAAAATAATAGTAATACTAACAATGAGCAGTTAAACACACACTATAACAGTTTTCAGAGGACCTCGCCCTGGTAAAAATCATAAGAGGGATATAACCCTCCCCCCCCCCCCCCCCTTTTCCCCGCCGAATGTCTTTGTGTCGTCCTTGCTTTAAGAGTAGTTGCAGTCGTGTCTAGACGCTTGAATGCCAGTCTGTTATTTTATTCTAAAAATAATTAAAAACAAATAGAATACTACACTTGGCTCCAGGTGTACCTAAGCTGAAATAGGTGGTGACCATATCACAAATCTAGTGGTGACCATATCACCAATCTATCACCCACTATTCACTATAAACATAGTATATAAATTCCGACTAGTGCTGATTGGAACAGGCAAGTGGTGAGCCACTGCGTTATAAAGTAGTACATAAAAACATAAATATGTGTGTGAAGAAAATTCATAGGTGAAGCCAATGCTTTAAATAAGTATACATACATGGAGAGATGAGCCTCATGCAAAGAACTGCAGGTTTTCTAAAACTTTTAAATTTTGAGACTGATTCTAACTCAAGACGTTCGTTGCGGCAGGTAACGATCAGATCACTGCTTTGCAGTATTTCTTGCCAAAGATATGAAAAAAGTCATATTCTCTTACAAAATTTAAGATAAAAGCATGTAAAAAAAAAAACACACACACACAATTTGCATTTCCACAGCCCGATTAATTCAACAAATGTTTATGGCGTAGTCTATGAAAGGAAAGGAATATATGATGTAAAACTGACTGTCCGAAGGACTGAAAAACATCAGTATTCTAACTAGAAACTACAATGCAACCAATTGAGCAGTAACTTCAATGATCATGAAAACAACTTTAATGATCTTGTTTGTAACTTTATGCAATAACATAAATAAAATAGCTAATTGAATGCAATGATCTGACTAGCAATATAAATGCAGTGACATTAATGGCAAACACTATACCGTTAAAGGTATTCCACGCTATAACGTTAACCATAGCCAAAAGAAACAATTAAAGTAGCGAACATTATAACATTAACCTGAACCCGCAGTATAACATTAACTGTCACCCACACTTAAATGTTAAGCCAAAGCCACCCTTAAAAAACTAGAAGTGTCCACACTATAACAGTGGCTGCAACCCACACTATAACAGTAGCTGCAACCCACACTATAACGTGGCTGTAACCCACACTATAACAGTGGCATTAACAGCAGCATACAGTATAACATAAAACTAACACACTATTTTTTAGAATTAACCATAACGCACCACATTATAATACTAAACACAACCATCGACTGCTATCGACTAATCTTGGCAATAACTAGTGATATACACCTGTACATAGTAACCTTATCTTCTGTCTCTAAACTACATGTTCTAATTCCCCTAGATGAACTTCAGTCCCAACAATGAACCCTTATTTAAAGAATTTGTATCTTTTTAAAAAATCTTATTAAATATTACATTCATAAACATTAAACATTAATGGCGTTTGCTAGCAAAATTACATAGAGGGGCTGTGCTGGGGGTGATGGTGGGGGGGGGGGGGGGGGGGTAGGGATCGTATAAAAAAGGGGGCAGGGGTGGACCTGAACTTTGTTTATATACACCACCCCCCGCCCTCTCTCTCTCTCTCTCTCTCTCTCTCTCTCTCTCTCTCTCTCTCTCTCTCTCTCTCTCTCTCTCTAAGACTACAGCGTGAAAATCTGACACTCACTGACTCAAAGAACCACTTTCATAACAACAGTCCAATATGAAAAATCTCAGACTACCTCGTTCAATCAAGTAAATTCTATTAGGACTCCTTAATGCTAACTTAAGCGTCCTGTTGTTCTGTATGGTTTAATTGGTGTCGAGCTTGTATAAAGAAACAATGTAAATTAACACTGAATTCAAAAAAAAAAAAAAAAAAGACTGCAAACATTTTAAAAGAAAATATAACGTTTCAGGAAATGTTTCCGTCAGGGAACACCAGTAGCGGAGTCTTGTTAATGTATTCCTTGATAAAGACTTTAACTGAAGTGGTGGAAACTTTTGATTATTATCTATTTGGTTCAACCTGACAGGGAGATTCTTGGCTGGATTTTACTATTTAGAACAAGTGATTTCCTAAACAATAGTTGGCTATTATTGATTTTTCATTTATGTTGGCAGCTTAAAGTATTTCAGACCATAGAGAGGAAATATAGCGACATTCTTCAAGATCTGAACATCGAAATGGACTGGTTAATGCAGAGTACAATTTCTGATAATTTGAAATACTTTAGATCTATAAAACTTTATAATGGATTGAGGATGGATGGGTGAGGAGTGACATGGTTCATGGAGAGAAAATGCAGAGGGCGACCAGGCCGACTGTGGAGAGATAATATCAAGAACACACTCAGCATGAAAGTTCTCAAGGAGGGGAAGTTGTGGTTTACTTACTACATGCTGA